CAAGATGGTTGATTAAAGCATTTGGCAACAAATTCTTCTTACTCATGGATGATAAAACTAAAGCCTAAAAAATGGAGGAGATGAGATGTGATTTTCAACCAAGAATCAAGGGAGTGAGAGGTTGAGGGAGGGAGAAGGAGATCCAAAGAGAATATCGAGAGTAGATGGAAGTGGTGTTGTGATCGAATATATATTTTGTGCTTATGCATTGACTTTTCTAAGTTATCATTATCTCTTAATGTAAGAGATAATTATTAACAATTTAAATCAAAGATAATTACACTTGATTCGTCGAGCTTAATTAGTTTGGAGTTAACTTACTATAAATTTGGTATGTTAATAAACTAATCCATATCTTTCTTTTTTTTTTCGTTTTCGTTTAAATCATATCTTGTATGTAACCCAAAAGGACCCTGCTAATTATGGAAAGTCAATAAATTGTGACCAGGAGAATATTTCTTACAACTAGAGAAATAAAATCATTCATGGCTTGAACTCAAATTATGAAAAGAAAACTTGGACAAACTCAAACAAAACTTAACTAGCATGTTGTGTAATTTAGAGCAATCACATAACAAGGCACTAAAACAATTTCAATACCGAATCAAGGCGATACACAAAAACTAAATCAAGTTGATATAAAAACTTGGTTGAAGGAGAAAATATTGTTTGCCATGTTCCAATTAAAATTTCCACATGTACTTACCTTGGTAGTTAAGTTGTCTAAGTACACTCTCCTCTTCATGATCTTCTTGTCTCTTCACTCTTCTAACTCTAATTCCTATAAAATTGATCAATCCATTCATTTAATATTTCATTTACATCCAAGACATGTTCTATTCACATATAATGTGTCAATTTCATTATTTGGCAACTAGTTCGATACTTTCAATTATATCACATACCTTAAATATGGCATAATACATTGACTATGAACATAATCTATTTGTATGATCATCATGCACTTTTTGTATTCATAATATCATGTAGTAACTAAGTTGGAGATTTATAACCTTGCTCATAACTAAACATTAGTGTTTCTCAAACCACAAACATCAAAATGGTGATTATTTAACACCATTTTAATGGTTACATTCCAACTGACCTTTAAAATGATGGTTTTAAACACCTTCATATTTGACATTTATATTTATTGTTAGAAAAGAGCCAACACAAAAGTTGTACGATTTTTGAAGGTTCCTTGGAGTAAAAATAACCTCTAAAAATGTGTTTTAGATGTCCATTGAAGTTGACCTTAACTCTTAGGTTGTAAACTATGATATCAATAGTAAAACATGTTATCTATTATGAATAACATGTTTATACAATTTGAATTATTATTATCTAACCTCAATTTAGGGAAATTAAGTAATCTAATCATTATAAATGAAGTTTTCAAAGAAAATAATCATATGTTTTAAGTTTTTGAAAAATAATCACTTTCTCCAGAATACCCTCATTCTGAAGTATATATTCTTATTCTGGAGTTTCTTTTTTTTAAAGAAATCTTTGTTTTGAAATTTTGTATGCTACATTTCAAAGTCCTTAATGTCACCGTTTTCAATAAAATGTCTAATTTTATGTATTAATATTGTACATAGTTCACATTATTGCGTTTGTTTAACATTTTATTAGATCTTTTTTCTTGAAAATCGAGAATTATTCATCTGATGTCGAACTGGTTAGAAAAGTGTTTTTTCTTGGTCACGAATACATATTTGGAACCAAATAGTTACTTTTGCTAATAATAAATATTTTTAGTTTTTTTACTCAAATATATTATTAAAATATGGTTAGATTGCTTAATTTCGCCCTCAATTTATTCATATGATCAAACCTTAAAACTTAAGGTTAGCGAGATGAATTAGGGTTTATGAGTTTGTTCATAATTATTTTGCTACAAATATTAAAAAATTATAATTTAGTGACAGTACATCTCTATTTTAATAAAGAATAACGAACATTAGTAAACAATGTTACACGAAATACGTGTTTTTTTTTTATTATTCATAATAATTGTAGAATAATACGAAAATTTTATTCATATATTATTAAACTATTTTCATTTCTGATCAATAATGACAAAATTATTAAAAGAAACAAAATTTGAATCCTCAAACTTGATTCGTGAAAGGAACAAAAATTGAATCCTCAATTCCTCATTGGGCTGCACCATTTTTCTAGGTTAATTATGGTTATTGTGCAAAGTTAATTTAAGTGATAAATTTCTATTTTTTTAATAAAATAAAATATATAAAACTTTATAATTTATATTTTAGAAATAAAAATTAATATTGATATATATTTTTTATTATCTTTTAATATTTTGTAGTTATTGAATTAAAACTTCAAAAGCAATTATGAGTTATATGGAATTGAATTGCTAATAAACTTATAAAAGTTGAATTGGCCGGTCTTATATTTTGATGACAACAAAATTGGTTTATAAAATATAAACTGAGTGAACCTCTATTTTTGTATAGAAACAACACCAAATTATTACAAAACACCATTTTTATATTAAACAATAGTTGCCTCTTTTTTTTTTTTTTTTTTTTTTTTGATAGTATAAATTGGAAGTTTTCTTTTGGAAAGCCGGAAGATTTTATTAATAACTAGCAAAAAGCTAGAAAATAATCATGGTATAAATTTGGAGTTAAACAAATAATAATTTCACATAACTTTATACAAAAATGATATAAGGTTTAATATTAGAGAGCTGTTGTAACTGTTGTAATCACTTTTATACAAAAATGATATAAGGTTTAATATTAGAGAGCTGTTGTCACTGTTGTAATCACTTTTATAAAAGCAATATGTAAATTTAAAAACAAGTACAGCGTTGAGGTGTTTGGTCTAACATTATAAAAAGGAGTTTGATCCATATATAATAACTTTTTATTATATATTATAATTTACGTTTTATAAAGTTATACATTATACATAATAATTTTTGTTTTAAAAGGGTATAGAGTTCAAAATATAAATTATTATATACAAAAAAAATTATTGTATACATTCACTGTTTTAGAAACTGTGGTTTCTGGTTCTGGTTTTGTCAAACCAATAGAATGAATTTCCTTTAACTATGTTGGAGTTTTTAAGAAATAATACAAGAATGATACATTTCTTTCTACAGATCGATCAAATATTATAAATACTAAAGCAAAAAGGAAAGATATGGGCGTATAAAATTGTGGTGGAGAATTGGGTCACGTGGGGGGAGATAGGGACAGCTATCAAACAGCTGGGGTTCTTTTCTCAATCTAACTGGCTTAATCAAGGGAATCAGAAACCACATGCTCCTACTTCCTTTTATAATTGATACACACACAAAATCTCATAATATACTACACAATTTACTATTTTACTCTAAAAGAAATTCAACATGAATATATGCCGAATGTGTTACGTGTTTATGTGACTCTAAAATACCAAATCGATATCACGAAATATATATATATATATATATATATATATATATATATATATATATATATATATATATATATATTCAAGTATTCTACTAATGTTTCTCGTTATGTAACCAAATCAACATAAAAAAGGAAAAACATATTTGGCGGGTCCATGGTTAATAAGTAATTTAAGTTCGGATATATGAAATTTAAGGTCGGTAATTTTGAAGGTCATATACGGAATTAATCAATACAAAAAGTTGTCGTTAAGACGTCACTAATTTGAAGTAGAATTCTCATGTTTTTGTAGTTTTTGAAAGCAAAAGTAGTAAAGTATTGGAAGCACAAAGCAATAATTATGTATCAAGCGGTAAACACTTTAAACATATAAATGTTATTTTTCCTGAGCAAGATAGAATTCCTTGCGTCCACTACATTTCCCCCCTCTTTATTTAAGTAAACTTTAAAGTTGACGAGTAAAAATGAGATTATATTTCAGACCCGAGACATAAGAAACATCCTTGAAATTCATAGACTTGCACCGAATTGATCCAAATCTCATAGTTCTTCCTTTATGACTGTCTTCAATCCTCACCATAGGGCCACCCTCTTCAACAAAATCATCCACGAGAGATTTGCATTATGTCACATGCCTTGAGCATCCACTATCTAGATATCAAGCGGGCTCTTGATCATGTAATACTAAGAGACAAGTTAGAACATAGTGACCTATTTTTCAATAGGCCTTTTGACACTAAAAATATTATAACATGAAGAAGGAAGACGGTTTAACAAATCTTTTTTTTTTTTTTTGCATGATTTTTCATTTCTTAACTTGAAGATTGTCAATTCTCTTAGAATTTTCATCAAAAGTGCACTCATTGATCTTCAACAACAATAGCATATCCTTATCCCTTGATTTATTTATTATTATTATTTTTACACTTTTTTGATATTTGGGTTTCTAATGAGATCAGATTTTTTTATGAAAATCATGAATTTTGGAGCAAGTTTTGGAAATAAAATATTTGTCAGTGTAATAGGATGTGGAGGGGGCCCATAACGCTGATATACACAAAGATTCATCAGTGTCAGAGGAGTGAGAGGATTCAATGTCATTGTTGCTAACAGTGCATTTTGGGAACACATTGAGTATCTCATGTGTTGAATGAAACTCACCGTTAGAAATAGGAAATTTGAGATACATTTCAGTGGTTGGAGTAGTAATGTCTAGGATGGGGATACAAATGGCAGGATCAAAGGTAGTTAGACGAGTAGTGCATAGAGTGATAAGTAGTACAATGTTTATCAATTAGAGCCTGAATTATAAATGAGTGACTAATGAACCTATTTTTAAAATCTTGATTGAGATCATCAGGAGAAGAGAACATAGATTCAGATTCAATACGTATGTAGATGTTACCAACTTCATCAATATCTACACCAAGAATTTTCTCACATTGATCATATATTTGAGCATTTATTATTATTTTACTTAACTTTTGATGAGAATTATCCTAGTTATTTATTATATTTTGAAGCTAATTAGAATGCCATTCAGCTCTATCCTTTTTAGAGTTGAGATCAGTGTTGGCTAAGAGTTAAGTTTGTGACTTTACTGTTGGTAAAGGCAAGAGTCTTCTTAATGCTAGACAAATTATTCATAAGTGTGTCAAGCTCAACCCTAAGCATATGCTTTTCTTTATTAACTTTTGAAAGATGATGGCACAAGTAATTAAACATCATGGATTTTTCGCTATCAGTGTAGGTAATGAACTTATTTACCTGATACGAAGATGATGAATCCCATACTAGATGTTTTGAGTCCTTTGCGACTTTGGCAAGATCATCTTTAAAAGATCTAGAACCTCTTTCTTTATCAACAACCGGATCTTCAATATGAGCCATCAAACACTTATCCTTACCTTTATCTTTATCAGATGATTCTTCTTCTGGCACATAATTTTCTACTTCAACAACCAACACTTTGACATCGATGGTCTCCCTTTTTAGAGATCCCAACAGCTTCTTGTAGTTTACTTCATAATCTTCATCTGTGTCAACTTTCTTTGATTTGCAATCTCTGGAAAAATAATCAACACCTCGACAGTTGAAACACATGAAACCTTTCTTCTCAGCATCAGTTTTTCTTTTAGCCTCATAACTTTTGGACGCTAATAAGTCAGTCTAAATTGATACCTTTTAAACCCAAATGGTTTCTTGTTATTCATAGTAATGTAGTGTTTAACAATCAGTGCTTCACCTTTAGATTCGTCAGAGAAGTTGTCGTCCCTATTTTAAGGAGACTTCTTGTAGTATAAAGCCACATATTTGTCCTTGTGAGTATCTCGCATGATTTCCTTATGCAAAATCTTTGTTTATTCATGATTACGAAGATTATCAAATAGAGAGGCTAAATCCATGGTTTCAATCTTTTCACTATTCTTCAAAACATCAACATGATGTTCCCAACTATCATTTTGTGAATCAAGAAACTTTAGCACCAGAGAGTTTCTCATATTGTTCATATTTAGTCGGAGCATATCATTTACCAAGAAATTAAAATGATTGAAGACACGGGTAGGGTTTTCATTATTTTGCTGAAAAATGCTCATATCATCAATGCAATTTGTTTTTGTTTTTCTGCCTTTACTTCATCTGTCCTTCGTATGCGATAGTTAGGTTTGCATTATATCTTTGGCCGATCTGCATTTTTATACAAAGTGATAGATATCATAGGGTAGATGGTAGTTTCATTTTATTTACTTCTTTTTATAGTTTATTTTAGTGTATTTCATTCATAACTTAGCTAATCTTCATGCATATTTTCCTTTTTGTTATTTTATGACTATTTCGGGTACTTTCTAGTTTCGTGAGCATAACTACAGATTTTAAGGAGACTAGTGGAGCGGAAATGTTCGGTACGTATGGAAAGCAGGTTGACTTGGAGGAGATAAAATTTAAATTTTCAAGAAATGAAAGAATGTTTGAGCATGCAGAGGTTAATGATCGGGTGATTACGTGAGCTATGGATCACTTGCAGAAACCATCTTGGGCTTAAATTGAAGAAAACATGAAGAATTTTAACTACAAGCTTAGTGGACTCGAACTGGACCAGTGGGCTAAGTCATTGGAAGCCTAAATCACAAAAGACCAGCTCAACACGCGGGTCGCGCAAGGCCCTGCAGGGGCATTTCCAGAAATTCTTATTTTGAGATATATGGGGAAGGTTAGTGTGCCACTTTTCTAGACATATACACATCCGAATTTGGAGCATTTTCTCTGGAGATTTTGAAGGTTTTGAATGCCAAGAACACTTTAAGGACATCATCTTTTCATCTCTAAACTTGTTAAATGTTTGGTACAATCTTTTCTTACTTTGTTTTCTTGAGTTTAGCCATGCTAGGCTAAATTAAACTTGGTTGACTTTTGTGGAATTCTTTGAACTTTTGATGAATGTTAAAGATTCAATGAACTTATTCTTGAATCTTTATGGGAATGTTTTGTGTTTTAACATATTATCACTATTGTATGCTTTTATTCATGAGTTTAAATGTGTTTGTGGTGATTAGGTGGCTTCTTGATTAAGTAAAGGATCCTCAAATTAGCAAGCAACAAATGATTTTTGTGTTAGTTTTGCTTCACACAATCATAAAAACATTTTCTTGAACATGGTAGTGAAAGCATTTGACTCCTCTTGGATTTGGTGACTTTTTGGTTCTTAATGCTAGTTGATTTTCACTAATTGTGTGCTTAATGGAAATTATGATTTTAACTAAGGAAATTGTTATGAGCTTCTGTAATCATTTTAACAACTAAGAAAAATCTAAGTAATCTCAAGCTTCTTGGATTACTATATCCAAATTAAGGATCTAAAACAAGTATTGTACCATTGGATTCTAATAATATGTTCACCAAAAGTCAAAGTGAGGAAACCTTAAGTCATCCATCTTTCTCTTACTGATTTACATCAAACTTTTATTTTTGTTGAATTGTCCATTTAAATATTAGTTTGATCCTAGTTTTAGTTCAACTATTTAAAAAGACCAAAGCCCCCCATTTTTGTTTTTATTGTCATTTTACAAGTACTTTTGCAAAGAGATTTTTAATAGAGTTATTAAATTGAACCAATCTCCATGGATTCGACCCCTTTAGCACTATAAACTATTTTAGTGTAAAATATATAGGGTTATTTATTTTGTTCGCCTCGACAACCATCAGTAGATCATTCCCTATAGCAGCACGAGTGTTCACATCAAGAGCAACAAGACATTTATCTTCATCATCAAATTCATGGACAAGTTTTTCGATCATATCACCATCTTTAAAATTCTCATTCATTGTCTGATACATAGGAACATGAGGACCATCATTGAAGATGCTCAATGTAAGTCCCTAAAACGCCTGTGTATCAATCAGATCCGTTTGATGGTGTGGAATCCTAATCAAACAGATGATGTCAGATCAAATAAAAGAGAAGGAGAAGAAGAAGATGATGAATCTCAATGTATGAATTGATTAGAATGAAGATCTGCATACAAAAGATTCACACACACAAAACTTCTCTCTAGTTTCTCTCCTGGCCGTATACTCCATATGTTTCATCAATCCCTGCTCCTCACCCCTAACACCAATATATATACAAGGGGAACATGGGCCAAAGAGATCATGGGTCGTAAATGGGTTTACGGTCGGGCCGTAAACAGGTCCGTAAACAGGGTTTATGGCCGTAAACCTGTTTATGACCGTAAACACCTCCTTGGTCATAAACCTGACCGTAAACTCATAAAATATTACAGAAAATATAATTGCCCAGAAAAGTAAAGTATAAACCATATTTTGACCGAACAATATCCCCCTTGCTTTATAGCTTTCTTTTCTTAAATGACCAAATAAGCTCCCCCTAAAAAGTAACTGACTCTTCTTGTTAATCTTCATTGGGAGATTGGTTTCAACATTTATCTTCAAATTCTTCATCTTGAGTACTTGGGCTTTTCTTCAGAATTTGATATTGAACGCACATTGGGTGAGGATGCTTGATGTACTAATTCTTGAAAGATAGCGCTTTTAGCTTGAGAATCTTCAGAGAGAACATCAGAGAGAATAAATCTTCTGGATCACTTCAGTAGGTTTAAGATAGTAGCAGACTGATTAAGGAAGCTTCAATGCAATCCGTCACATAATTTTCAATTTCAGCTTCACCTTGCTTCTGGGTTAGAAAAAAATTGAATGTTGAAAAAATAATCTTCATTTCTTGCTCCTTCGAATGAGAATTCTTCGATGACCACGGATGAAGCTTTGGCTCAGAAAATCTTCGATACAGTCTCCATGAGTCTTATCTATATCTGAAATCACTTTTCAAGACAAAACAAAACTAAAAGGAAACTTAGCACACAAATTAAAACAGAAACAAAAATATTTTTGGATTTTTCATATTTTCTGAAAAAGAAATTAAACGAAAATAACACTATTTTTTTTAAAATTTTTAATTTTCTGATTTTTTTTAATTCTCCCCTAACATTTAAATTAGAAGAACACTGTGAACAAACTTAAAAAAACAAAAATAATAGCTAACATTAAGAATGATTTGGGATCAAAGTTTTTTAGATAGCCTTTATCCGTTTAGCAGTACCTCTCCCTTCATGAATAGATCTGGTCAATCGTCGATATTGTGGTCCACTTAAACACGAGAAATTGTGACAAAATTAGGACATACTATAAGTGACAAGACCATGTGATGCTAAGTTCCTAGATAATATTCCTTAAGGACCATTCAACTGACGACGACCAAAGATATTGTTGTCCACCTAAATTGATGTGACAATCGTCAATCTTGAGTCAAGTCGAGTCATCAAGTCAAACCGGTCAACTCGATTAAACCTTGTGTATTAGGGTTTGTGTTATGTTCATACTGTATAACTTGCTATATTAATGGGAAAACTTCACTTGGGAAAAATCTTGTGTTAAAATTTCCTGAGCCTTAGAGCAAATCGATGAACTAAACTGATAAAAACCATGTTGCATACTCATCGGGAATGTGTAAGATCCTTAAACAAGGCTTAATAGTGTTTGCGGACCTTACCTTGCGAAGCCGGACACTCACAAATGCCACAATCGAAACCTCTCTGAATCGTTTTCACTCTATCTCTCTCTATTTGAAATCTCTCTAAGTATGTGAAATCTCTCAAAAACTCTCTTTGTATGAGAAATCTCTCTAAGTATGTGAAATCTCTCCTAAAACTCTCTTTGTATGAGAAATCCCTCTAAGTATGTGAAATCTCTCCCAAATCTCTCTAAGTATGTGAAATCTCTCCCAAATCTCTCCAAGTATGTGAAATCTCTCTCAAATATCTCTCTGTATGAGAAATCTCTCCAAGAATGTCAAATCTCTGTCAAATCTCTCCAAGTATGTGAAATCTCTCTCAAATATCTCTCTGTATGAGAAATCTCTCCAAGAATGTCAAATCTCTCCCAAATCTCTCCAAGTATGTAAAATCTCTCTCAAATATCTCTTTGTATGAGAAATCTCTCCATGAATGCCAAATCTCTCCCAAATCTCTCTCCAAAGTTTCCCGTAACTTTTTAGAATCATTCGGGTCATTCCAACGCTTAACCGTGTCAAAAACGGCTTAAAACGGGGTAAAAACGAGAAAAATTGACATTAGGAACCGAAACCTCTCGAGAAGAGAGAAGCTTCTTAGGACCCGAAGGTCCTCTTAGGGACCGAGAGCAAGGAGGAGCCGAACCCTCCTGAGCCGAAGGTCCTCTCAGGGCCGAACCTCGCCCAGGAGGAACCGAACCCGAACCCCGCTTAAGAGGAACCAAACCCGAACCCCGCTTAAGAGGAACCGAACCTCGCCCCAGAAGAACCGAACCCGAAGGTACTGTTCATTCAGCACATTTCGGTAGGACGCATCGCCTTTTATCTCCGGACCGAACCCCCCCCCCCTCGCCTTCGCCTCTCGCTTCCTCGCCCCTTTCGCTTCCCTCTGTTCGTTTCGTTTACGGCTACAGCCCCCAGCAAGGACCGAACCTCGACCTAGGGACCGAGAGGTCTCGCTGGGAATGCCTTTCTTCCCGGTTTTCGCGTAGTTTTGCATTTAAGGCCCGTTTTTAATTAT